GTCTTTGGTCAGACATAAATGTAGGCATTGCAATGGAAATTAATCCTATCTCTCTCTGCTTTTGTGACTGTCTGGGGGAGAAAATGGATAGGTTTTTTTATTTTGGGGGGAAGGAGGGTGTACATGTTAGACTGTAAAGCAAGATTTTTTTCAGTGATGTAAGGGGAATTAGGTGTCCAACATTCATTGCCTTTAACTTCCTGGGAATTAAATTCCAGACTTCCTTTTGTGTCTTTAAAAGTGCCACAATTGCTAGCAATGTGTGTGGATTTCTTTTAATATACAGAAATGTGGTATTTTGATAAAACTGAGTGTAAGTGATTCCAGTTTTTTAATGATTTACCTTTGCCACATTTAATTTTAATAAAGTGGCAGATATCAAACTTAAACTGATTAGAAATGTCAGATTAAGGATAGAAGTTTGAACTAGTTTTAATTTAGTTTCATAACATTATTGGTGGGGAGTAGTAGATACACTGGAGGGTAGGGCTAGGATTCAGAGTGGCCTAGACAAGTTGGAGGATTGGGCCAAAAGGAATCTCATGAGGTTTAACAAGGACAGGTGCCAAGTCCTGCACTTAAGGCAGAACAATCCCATGCACCGGTACAGGCTGAGAGCTGACTGGGTGGGCAGCAGCTCTGCAGAAAAGGGCCTGGGGGTTACAGTGGACAGTAACCTGAATGGGCCAGCAGTGTGCCCTTATTGTCAAGAAAGCTAATGGTATACTGGGCTGCATTGGCAGGATTGAGGCCAGTAGGTCAAAGGAAGTGATTATTCCCCTCTATTCTGCATTAGTAAGGCCACATCTTCATTACTGTGTTCATTTTGGGCCCCCACTACAGAGAGAATGTGGACAAATTGGACAGAGTCCATTGAAGGGGAACAAAAATGGTGAGGGGGCTGGAGGACATGACATCTGAGGGAACTGGACTTATTTAGTCTCGAGAAGAGAAGACTGAGGGGGGATTTAATAGCAGCCTTCAACTACCTGAAGTTGGGATTCAAAAGAGGATGGAGCTAGACCTGTTCTCAGTTGTAGCAGATGGCAGAACAAGGAGCAACAGTCTCAAGTTGGAGCAAGAGAAGTTTTTAGGTTAGATATTAGGAAGAGTTTTCTCACTGGAAGGGTTGTAAAACACTGAAACACCACCACGTCTCTGGGTAACCGATCTCCATCCTTGGAGACTTCTAAGACCCAGCTAAAACCAAGCTTTGGCTGGGATGATCTAGTTGGGGATGGTCCTGCTTTAAGCAGGGGGGTGGACTTGCTGACCCCTCGAGGTCCCTGCCAACCCTAATTTTCTATCATTCTATGATTGTTTTTAATTCTTGTGTACTTGTAATTTATGTCATGTTGAACAAACTGTGAATTTTGATATATCTTTCTCCATTCAGATAGTAGAATGGTATCACATTGTGTAGTTTCACGGGCCTAGGCAGCCCTGCCTAACCCCCTGGGTTTGGGCAGCCCTGCCACTCCTTAGCTATCACATCTTGAGGAGCACTGGCTGCACCTGAGGTGGGGAAGAAATCCCTGCCCATTCCTATAGCTGCAGAACGTAGGAATAGCACCATCAGCCTCTTTCCTCTCCCAGAACTTGCTGTGCTGTCTGGTGGCATGAACAATCTGTTGGCACGAGGGGTGGCACTCTCTCACGCTAAGGAGGAGCATGGCAGTAACTCCTGTGGCTACGCTGTAGAAGTGGTTGGAAAAACCAAGTTTGTTTCATTCCAGGAGAGAGAGGGGAGCTGCATGTGTTTTAGCTAAGAGAAAGCAACAAAGAAAGGTGAAAAGAAATGCTTAAAAATTAGATGAAAGGAATATAGCCTGTGGAAGAAAGGGCAGGAATTAAGTTTTCAAGAGCCTGATGAGAAGAAACAAGGATGGTAAAGCCAAAAAAAACCCTGTATATGCACAAAAGAGGTTTTACAGGGTAAGTTGAACTACAAGATATGCATATGAGACCTGAATAACAGATACCTTTTATAGCCGTTTTCTCTCCAGTTCCCTCCTCTTGTTTGTTTGCATCACATTGTTATCCCAGGTCTTTTAAGACGCAGCTCCTGCAGCTTCCTCAGGTATAGACAGAATATCTAGTTTGATATCAGAAGATACTAATATTGGCCATTACACTGTAACTGTTTCATATGCCTGTTCTTGTAGCCAGGGAAGTATAAGAGGATTGTTATGCTTTGCAATTCTTTTTCATGAATGATTAAGTTTGGAGCAATTTTGCCCACTGTTTTGATACAGAAGCATACAGATATAAGTTTCAATGTAAAAAGTGACTATTGAGCTGGCACTTCCTAGCCTCCACACCGATGCATCAAGTTTAAGAGTCAAGGCTTTGCACTGGAAGCTTTCCATGGTAGGCATTGTATCTCAATGTGCATTTTATATTGCCTAGCAGGATGAGGGTGAGATTTCAGTTAGATTCCTTGGGAACGCTGCCATGAGTTCAATAACTGGGCTAAGATCCTAATGTCCATTGTTTTGGAATGCCCTGTCTTTGGTGCTCACTATATTTCAGAAGGAACTAGGCATTAATGAGTAAACCAGCACTTCTAAATTTTGCTCAGTATAGCTAGAGAGGATGAAGTGTGGCAATAATGGATTTTTTTTTAAAGAATGTTGTCAAAGATGGAGAGCCTCATATATGTGTGGTCCAGCCAAGGATAGGTTTTTTTGGAGCTTAAAATGTATACAAGCAAAAATTCCCAATGCTGATTTTGGTAGACTCTTTAGTAGGTAAATTTATAGTAAGATTTTTATGACATTTTGTTTGGTCAGTGGGCAACACTTTCTAATAGAAGCAAAGTAGTCCAATAGTAACTTAAAAAGCCAACTGTATTGTATGCAAAATAAGAATATAGGCAAAATCCTTTCTTTTTGCTTTGGAAATAAAGTACCATTTAGCAGCAATTTCATGAATGAGCATGAAAGGTTGGAACATTCATTTAGTCACTTGAATTAAATCCAAGTACATTAAAAGCCTTGCATTTAGCTTTGAAGAATTAAAACACAGGAAATATAGTTGGAGACATTTAAGATCTAAAAAGGCAAAAATATCTGACAGGAATGAAGATGACAGGATTCAGCTGAATGTTGATGTATCGAGTAAGTTTACTACCAGATCAAACAACCGCAGAGATGTGGTTAATTTGGTTTTGTTGATGAAGTAGGCATCTGTTGCAAATTCTAAGAGACGACTTAAGTGTGAGCTTCTGAAGATCTAATCTAGATGAAACTTACTGTCTGTTTACCAATGCCAGTCCAGTGTAAATCTTGAGCTCCCGTTTTTGTTATGGTTGTCTGTTTTGGTTGTTGTCTGACTTCTGTTTTTATTTCTCTTTAAAAGAGTGTTTCAAGTTTCTGAACGCTGAAGAAAACATATAAAGTTCATTGACCCATCCATATATGAATCTGCTAGACTGAATTGTTACTTTTTCTTATGGAGGAAATATTGCATCAGGGGCCTTATTTTTTCTGAAACATTATTGCTATTCTGACCATTACCATCTGGAATACACTGCTGGTGTTTGTCATGGATAGCTGTCTTCAAAGATGATGCATTTTTAATGAGGGAAGAAAGAGCACTTTTAACTGGAGGAGAATATCACATGCTTCCATAGCCTTTTGCAAGAACCTTATTAATATAGCAACATAACTTACATTTTAAGAAGAAGCTATCTGTATGTCATTAATAGTCTAACTGTTTCACTTTTTTAATCAAATTATATTTAAAATTCTTTTGAATAAAATCAGTTTCCGTATCTTTGGTAACTTTCTTTTCCATTCACATTATTAGCAATAATAGAGCAACAACAAAAATGGCTCATTAAAACTTCTACTCTGCGGGAGTTACAGACCTCCATCACATCCCAGTTTTTTTTCCCATTGATTCTCCCTTTTTTTTTTTCCTTCCACAGAGGGTTGATCTATTTTCCACTAAGCTACCACAGCTACTCAAATAATAGACTTGGCACACTGGGAGTGCTTATGGTACATCTTGGTACACACAATCTCATAGTGGGGTGTGGTGGGGAGGAAGGATGTGAACAACAGTGCTAATCCTAATTTGAGAGGTGGAGGCATAATTGTGAAAGGTACATTGATAGATAAGTTTGTACTTCAGCACAGGGGTGTTGACTATATAGCCCATGGACCAGATCTGGCTTAGAGAGCAGCATCAGCATCTGGGTAGGTAGGATGGGTAGGAGCAGGGTCCACTGTTGAAATCTGGGGTATGGAGCTCTGCTTGGGTCACACTTCCATGGCAGAACGGGCAAGCAACAACTGTGTTAATCCGTGTGGCTCATTGCCACTGCTCACCCCACATCTACTACCAGCCCCAAAGGAGCACTGTGGTCTAGAGGGGCAGGAGGGATGGATGAGTTTGACACCTGATCTAGTAGAAAAACTTCAGAAAATCCCATACAATATGAAGTAATGTGCTTGTATCCTTTTGTTTTTATGTCTTAAACTCATGTAACTTTTATTTAAGTTAAATGAATAACTTTAAAAACTATTTGTTCATATAGTGTGTATCTTACTGTTTCTCAAAGAAAAATGAGAGATGCATTGGTGTTTCTAATTAAGTGAATAGAAAAAAATAAAATTTAATAATCTGCTTGGTCAGCTAATTGGTGTAGGTCCCAACTGTATCCACAATGTTAATCTCTGAGGTTTGCTTTTGTAATGTATAAACAGTTAAAGTGGGTATGCTCTAAAGCAGTTAAACAAGAAGTCTTTAAATTGTTGTCCTAAATTAAAATGTCTAAATCACAGTGCTCCTCTCAAACAATTTGCAGAGATGTTTGCTCACGTGACAAGCAGTAGGTTCAGTGGAGCTCTCATCATGCTGTCCTTTGAGCATGTTTGATTCTGAGGTATGCAATTACTTTTTGTATTGCAGCACCGTAGCACAAAGGAGAGGCTAGCTGTATATTTACTTAGGAAGTACATGTAATTTCATAATTTTATAATTTGTCTTTTTAGGTTTTGGGACCTGCCCCAAGATGGTGCTCGTTTTTAGATAACTTGACAGAAGAATTGGAGGAGAATCCAGAGAGCACAGTATATGATGATTATAAATTTGTTACCAGAAAAGATCTTGAAAATTTAGGTAAAACTTTATTCACCCAAATCTTATCCCTTGGCCCTTGTCTCTTCTCCTTATTTTTACTGTTTGGCTTTAAAGTACTTGCATGGTACATATAGGTCTGAAGTGTACCATGTGAACAAGTAACACAGGGGGCTGTTAAAGTTTCTCAAAGTAGTTCTTTCTAACATTTTCTGGTGTCATAGTTTCATAGTTGGTAGGGTCGGAAGGGACCTGAGCAGATCATCAAGTCCGACCCCCTGCCATGGGCAGGAAAGAGCACTGGGGTCAAATGACCCTGGCTAAGTGATTATCCAGCCTCCTTTTAAAGACCCCCAGGGTAGGAGCAAGCACCACTTCCGTTGGAAGTTGGTTCCAGATCCTAGCCGCCCTGACTGAACTAGTGCTTCCTGATGTCTAGCCTGAACCTACTCTCAGTCAACTTGTGGCCATTATTCCTACGTACTCCTGGTAGTGCTTGCGGGAACAGGGACTCTCCTGTTCCCCGCTAGTCCCCCCTGGTAAGTTTATAGACAGCCACCAGATCCCCTCTCAGCCTTCTCTTGTGGAGGCTGAACAGGTTCAGGTCCTGTAGCCAC